TGCTAAATTTGTAAGTTCCTATTTCTGAAAAAAATTCACTAAAGTTGACTAATTTATGTCCTGATAAATATTACATGGATATCTCATATGTATCTATTTCTTTAAAAATGTAAACACATATGACCTGATTCATATCCCAATAGAAGCAATGACGGGGTAGGTGGTGGCATCGTCTTTAACTGTAGTAGTAAGCTGCTGGTCTTCCAAGGTGACCTAGCAAGCAGATGACTGAGTCCAAAAGTGGTGATTTATCATTTCATTCTGGGAGAATGTGAAGAGTTCTCAGCTTTTAAGATGCACCTTATGCCATTAAAGTGCACGTTGACAATGATGGATGTGCCTTCATTATGTAGTTTATTGCAGGTAGATCAGGGCTGGGACGAGAATCTACATCTTGAGATCCTAGAACAGTACATTTTTAGGAAGCATGACCCCCATGACTGACCTCACAAGGAATCCAGACTAGAGTGAAATAAGAGACTGTGAGTTTTAGACATCAACAATGGCTGCAAAGTTGATTTTATAGGCCTAGTGATATCTCCAGAGAATAATTCTCTTTCCCTCCTTCTGTAATTGGCATATACTCTAAATGCCATTAGAGCCAGCTTGCGCTAAAAATCTGTAGGGATAGCATTGCTCCCTCTTCCTCATTCAGTACATGGCCATGTCAGGACTAACTAAACAAAGGGACCAGATAAATAGAAGATATTCCGTCCAGATATTATAGCCTGACTGCTTCACTCTGCAACCTCTATTATTGAGAATTATCTATTTTGACTCCAAACACGTCGTTTCATCAAAGGTTCTTTACAAAGCAGATGACATTGAAAAGCAGGTTCACAATTTTCAGGTTTAGAGACGAGATTTGTATGGACTTCAGCACTTGGAAGTCAGCTCACCATTCTGACATAGTCCTCCTGCCAAGCCCAAATTCTGAAATCAGTGTGGGAGCAATCAGAGGGTGACATCCACCTTGGAGTCAGAGAAATGAGGGACTTCTGATTCCCCGTAGTTTCTCAAAAAGTAAATCCTCTTTTCCTTAACTGGCGCTTTTCTCTTTTGAGGGCCGATTACAACCTACTTGTTAAGAACCATTTAACAGTTCCAGAAATACTTCCAAAACCATTAACTTACTTGCTCCATATATCTCTCTAGGAAGTCAATAGGCCAAATAGTAACATTTGTAGCCAACAAGAAAGCCAAGCGCAAAGTGTTCAAACAACCAACCCAACAACAAACTGAAACCCTGAATATCGTCAGAATAACAAAAAAATTGTCTGACCTGACCCCTAATAGGGAAGTTTCCTACTGTGCAAAGAATAGTGCATACGACAGTGGGAAATTTCCCAGTTAGGGGTCAGGTCAGATTTTTTTTGTTGTTATCCTGATAACATTTTTATCTTCTAGACTTTGAGAAGAGAGGTGCCATAGTGGTGGAGCAGTGAGTGAGTGTGTGTTCCCAGGAATATTTTAGGTATAGTCACCAAGCTGGCCCCAAAGAAACTATAACTAAACTGGGAAATAGAGCAGATAAATTCTGTGTCTAGAATACAAACTCCTCAGATTCATATGTCCCAAACCCAATTGTTTTCCCTCTCTTTTCAGGCTCTTCCCACAAGTACTGACTTTACTTCCCAGCAGGAGAATTTGAGCCACTAACCTAGTCAAGGCATCTTCCCCTAAAGATGAATGCTATCCACTAGAAATATAAAGGATGCCACACAAGTGATCTTAAATTTCCTAGTAGGCACATTTTAAAAAGAAAGACAAGGCAATTAAAATGTAATTTTAATAATATATTTCATTTAACCCAATATATCCAAAATATTACCATTTCAACACATGATTAATATTCTAAACTACATTAGTAAGATAGTTACACTCCTATTTTCATCCTTAGTCTTCAAAATCCAGGGTATATTTTCCACTCACAGCACACCTCAACTCAGACCAGCCATGTTTCCAGGGCCTCAAAGCCACACCTGGCCAGTAGCTGACACAGTCTAGCTCCAAAAACGTGAGTGAGCTAGACCTCAGACACGGTGGCTTACACCTGTAATCCCAGCACTTTGGGAGGCGGAGGCAGGCGGATCATGAGGTCAAGAGATCGAGATCATCCTGGCCAACATGGTGAAACCCCGTCTCTACTAAAAATACAAAAATTAGCTGGGCATGGTGGCGAACACCTGTAGTGCCAGCTACTCAGGAGGCTGATGCAGGATAATTGCTTGAACCTGGGAGGCGGAGGTTGCAAAGAGCCGAGATTGCACCACTGCACTCCAGTCTGGTGCCTGGCAACAGAACAAGACTGTGTCTCAAAAAAAAAAAAAAAAAAAAGATTTTATAAAACTCTCTCTTTAGGGATGTGCTTACCTTCCCCCTTCTACCTCTGCTGCTCCTGACCTCCATCACCAGAAGAGACCCTAAAAGCAACTCATATTTTTGTTTCCAAGAGGGCCACTGACAACACTAAAACCCAGGAGGAAGCAATTGACAAGACCTTCAAGTGACTCACTTTGCAGGGAAAGCAGAGAGAGGCTGGCAAACAAGAAAAACATAAGCCCACTCTTCTCCTCCTCGCCAACCTCATTCCCCAACTTGTTTGCATCCTGAAGAGGGGAGAGCCTCCAGAGTTGCTTTCTGGGTCACTGTGGGGTGATTCAGCCAACAATAGGCTATAATTATAAGGTTTCTCTCTGCAAGTCAACTCTTGTTAACGGCAGGCGGACATGAGCATTGAGGCTGACAGGCTGGAAGATGAAAGAGTAGTTGTTTGTACCCTCTGCCCACTGAAAAATCCAGCCCCAAACCCATCTGAAGAACATTTCCTAATAGATAATGAGACACAAATCATGTATACCTGATTGTAAATGAATAGCTCATATGCACAAAGCAAAACTCCATCTAAAACCTCCATTTCTCAGCCAGGATAGCACTCCATTAACGACATGCTTTTGTTTCTTCCAAAGACTAAATGCTCCTTTTCAAGAGAAAATAGATCTATCTCATCCTCACCTCCCCATGTCCCTACCCCCACTTCAAAGAGATTGCATTACTCTGTGTATTAATATACCCTGCCACACAAATATGTAGGTGACCAAAAACTGAGCAGTTTTAGCCATTTAATCCCTGTCTTGAAATAGCAACTCACTGGATAAATGGACCTACCTTTAGCAATTTTCAGGATTTCCAATCTGCTTTGATTTCCTCTCTAGGTAGCTTTTTATTTTGTGTTGCAGCGGACACCAACTTTGCCATATCAGGAAAAACCAGAGCCAGTCTTGAAAACAATGCTGAGGCTTTTAGACTCACACCCGGGACAGAATTGGGAATGAATCAAGCCAGGCGGGTTTTTTCAAATCTACAGGAAGGGAAATTCTTCTGCTCCAGGCAATGTTTATTACCCATGTGGAAACCTCGTTGGTTTGGTGGTGGTGAGCTAACAGGGTATGGCCTGAGTTATGCTCTGAATAGCTTACTTTTACTGCCTAGGATGTGAACAATTTGGGGCAGGACAAGTCTATGTAAAGTGGCCTAACGTGAGGTGCGGGCTGGTGTCTAGCTTGTCTGTGAAGACAGGTTTGTTTTTTCTGCTTTTATTACACATTAAACCAGATGAACCCAAAGACTCTAGTTTTTACATTTCAACGATTTTTAAAATTCTATCTCTCGCAGGGAATATTGATTTATTTTATTGATTCTTTTAAGATCCCTTCCAATCTTTAGTGTCTGCTAGTCACCGGCCTCAAAAATGGAATTTTCACGTGTTGCTTTTGCCACTTAACATTATCAGACGCTTCTTGAATGTTTACTAATGTATGTGTAACTCCTTTCATGCTTGCTGTGTCTACTGTTCCTTTTGTGTTAGCAAAATTCGGGAGTGTGCTGATGGCTAACTTGCAGAAATAGAGATTTAGGAGAGACATAATGAAGAACTTCCTTACAACACGAGATATTAAATGCTGAAAAGGCTTTTCAATTCCTTTTTGAAATAAGTCAGGGCCAGCACTTAGCCCACTCTCCCCGAAAAGTCTCTGCACCATTCTCTGTGGATTCCTCAGGCCCAACACCCAGGAGCCAGGGCCTGGGACTTCTGGGACACCTCCCAGGGCTCATTCCACTCTGACGCCTGGCATGAATTTGTCCTAACTGCCTGACTCTCAGTGTGACGTGATGGCGGTAACTGTGTGTCTTCCTGAATGTGTTGGTTGCAATGGGAGGTGTTGGGCCAGAGAGTCGAATAGAGAAAAGGAGGGAGAAAAAAAGAGGAAATTAGGTTTTTCAGAACTGCACAACCAAGGATTTGCACACTTATTTATGGGGGTGAGCGGTGAGCTTGGTTGACCCCGGATGCTTTTCTGCGCTGTAAGGGAACCAGCAGCGGGCCGATCACTCTCCGGCTCTCCAGCGGGGCCGCCCTCCTGCGCGGAAAGCGGCCGGGGGCACCGCGCCCCTCTCGCGGGTCTCTGCGGGGCCTGCGACTCCCGGCGCCGTTCTCCTGCCCTCCCCTCCCTCCACGGGCACGGGCGGAGCCGAGGGGCCCACACAGCTCCCTCTGCTCCAAACGGGGCAGAGAATGAGAGGAGCCTGCAGCCGGGGGGCGCGCCCGTCCTTCTGCACACCGCAGGCTCCCGTTCTAGGCAGTGAACAAGGGAGAGAAGGGAAGCCTGGCGTAGGGGTGGGTCTGGCCCTGGGTGAAGGTGAATCGCCGACACGGCCTCCTGCGGGGCTTCGGTGTCCCCTCCGGTGGCTGTCATTCTGTCCCCGTGGCTTCACCCCCGGCCGCTGTGAATCCAGTGTGAATCCACGGCCGCGCGGACACACCTGCCAGGCAGGCACAGGGGCAAGGGCCTCTAGGACTCCCTGGACACGAAAGCCGCGTCCACGCCCCCGGGTCAAAGATTAACGCCCAGCTTCGCTGGCGTCTCTGTTAACAACGCGATCATTCCCGCTGGGAGCCAGTGCGCCACCGCCGCCTGTGTTCCACTCCTAAGCCTTACCCTCTTTAAGGTTCCTTCTTCATAGGTCAGGTGGGTCTCTGGTCCTCCCGCATAGGGTTGCTCAGGCATGGAAAGCACTGGCACCCGGTATGGGCAAGTTGTGCCTGCTCAGTAAATTTTAGCAACCGTCTCACAGGACCTGCCTCTCTTTTTGCTGCCCTCACACATTTCTGGTCTCTCTTCCATCTCCATTGTTACTGACCCAGGATTGGCTGATGTAAGTGAAAAACGGGTGCAGTCAGTTAGCTAAGTCATGCAAATGCTTTAAAATTGTACGTGTATGTGTGTGTGGGTGTGTGTATCAGCCTCCGGGTATATAGAGGTGAAATACCATGAAATACCAGGTCAGCAAGCACTTGTGCAGTTTTCTTCAGATAACAAATTTGAAGACACAGCCTCTACTGGTTCCCTTCCCTCCCTTCCCTGTCTCTCTTTTCTTCTCCACTAGAGCTTTCTGGGGCCATCTCCAAATAAACTACTTGCTCTCAAATCCCAGTGTCAGGGTCTGATTCTAAGGGAACCTGGAGTGCTGGCAACCGAGCACTTTTTTCCAGGACTCAGGATGGAATCTTACAGGAGATACAGAGCCCTGTAAAAAGTTAGAATCATAACGCAGCATCAAATTGTGCTTGATCATTAAACTAACGATGCCTCCTTTCTGCACCACCCCCATGTTTCTGATACTGTGATGTGTGATGTTATGGTTCTCATATGTAATATTGTGTTACGGCAGATAGATTATAAGACTTGAATGGACAAGGAGATTTCCTGTGACATAAGTAATTCTCGGGCCCTATGTAGCGCAGGCTTTTTTAAAAAATCTGGTTCAGCAGCCAAACATCATTAAAAATTAATGCTAATATTTCCTCTTTCAAAGAATGATAATGGGAACATTTCCTAAAGTCCATTTTTCTTTCCTTCCTTGTTTTCTCAGCTTTTTGAGAGTGTCACATTCTCTCTTCTTGCCCCGACATCTCCCAGCTTCCCGAAAATTCTGACCCAAAGTCTTTTCTTCTCTCCCAACAGATGCTTCCTGCTAGCTCTTAATTAGGTAAATCAACATAGCCTCTCCATATGCACTAATTTTCTCTCAGCTCCCAAAGTCTCCCTAATAAAGAAGAACTTGAGAGCTGTCCCCCAGTACAAAGTGGTGAGCATGAGGGGGAGAAATGTGAATTACTTATGCATAATTTTCCCCCATTAAACTTTCTTCACAAAAGATATTCGTAGTCCGAGATTCACTGAAATTATCCAAAGCTTCTTCCAGGCCCAATTGACCCATCATTTCTTTCCTTTTCTCACTGGTGTGGGCATAATTTCCTGCCATTTCCTACTGTGCTGCCTGCCAATTCTGGCGGTGTCCATTAGTGTCCCTCTTGACAAACTCGGATTTGAAAAATGGGCGACTAAATCTTCATTTATTAGACGTGTTTTTCTTTTACTAACAGCTGCCATCTGTTCCTCTCCACCTCAATACGACTCCCCATATCCCTCCAGCCTTCTCTTTGGACATTTTCATCCCAGTTCCTTTTTATTCAAGTGCACATTCAATTGCAAGACAGTTTTTGAAAGAGGAGAAATAAGAAGTAACAGAAAATAGAAATGATAATAAAATATTGCCCCCAAAATAAAAGAGACATGGGAAGAGTTTCTTTTTTTAAAGAGAACACATAAACAACACATGAAAGGTTGGAAAATAACAAAGAAAATAATATTTAAAAAAAAAATATCTAGATGCAGGAAGGACTGTTATGGAATGGCTGGAAAGAATAATAATAACCAAATAGCTGGAAGGTTGCCTGCAGCGAGATGAAGAGAATAAATCAGAAGGGAAAAAATGTTTGCCCGATTCTATTTTGCAGACAGTCTTTTAAAACGTATGTGTCATTCAGATTTGTTTTGATGTGTCAGTCATCTCCAGCATTAATCCTGGGCTTTGGATGCAACTTAGTTGCACGACTGGATGTGTGTGTTTTTTTGTGTGTGTGGTTTTTTTTTTTTGAGACGGAGTTTCGCTCTTTTTACCTAGTTGCTGGAGTGCAATGGCACGATCTCGGCTCACCGCAACCTCCGCCTCCTGGGTTCAGGCAATTCTCCTGCTTCAGCCTCCTGAGTAGCTGGGACTACAGGCATGTGCCACCATGCCCAGCTAATTTTTGTATTTTTAGTAGAGAAAGGGTTTCGCCATGTTGACCAGGATAGTCTCGATCTCTTGACCTTGTGATCCACCCGTCTTGGCCTCCCAAAGTGCTGGGATTACAGGCATGAGCCACTGCGCCCGGCCTGGATATGTTTTAAGCTCTGCCGTGCAGGTTATATTCTGATTTACTTGCTTACAGTGAGCTCCTACCTGGAACACAGTTCTGAATGCCAAAGAAAACCAAAGACCATTTCCAGTTCAATTTCCGTCTACAAAGTGGTCAAAGAAAACTCCAGTCCTTGAACTTGCATTCCAGTCTCTTATGCGCTGTTTAGAGATTCTGCAGGAGCTTCATGCCTGCCCTCTACGAGGGATGAAGGATGTGACCCGCTCTTGATGAATGGACATTTGAGATCTAAAATGTATTGAGGTCGAGTTGTCATCACGTTTTTCATTTGCCCAAGTCCTATATTCAAAAAAAAAAAAAATGAAGTTTTTCATCATTTCATATAAATGAAAAACAACATTGCTAGCCCGTTTCAAAAGCAAAATGCATTCTGCATTGTATATGAGTTGGATAATGTCAAGTGTCTGTGATTGCAGCGTGGGAGTTGTTTTGGTCTGTTTTATTTTGACTTAAGTCAGGAAACAATAAGTATGTTTGTCATTTTCTAAGCAATATGGTCCAAAAGCACTTGTGGCTGGTGGTCTTTCATCTCCACGGGGCATTCCACCCAGCAGTCACCATCTGCCAGGGATGCCTACCAATGTCAAAGTTCTGCTAGGTTTCTCTGAAGCCTGCTTCTGCTTTCAGCAGCTTTGAATAAGATACAGGGCCACAATTTACTTCTATTGTCATTTCTTCAGGGAGACAGAGAGAAATACATCTGCCACATTAGACAAGAAGCCCATGGGAAGAGTACACACACAATCAGAACAGCCATAGCAGGATTACACAGTTCAGCTGCAATCAGAAAGCGGGGAATAAGGGAGAGAAGAAAAGCCCCCATCTCGTTATGTGTAATGCTCATTTCTGAGCCAGTGTTTGAAGACAGAGCGTGCTTTGTGAGAAAAACATGTTTTTTCATCAGATAGGATGTAGTCAACCGAGAATTAATCATTAGTGAGCCATTAAATAATTAGCTGTAAATTGTAACTAATCTCTGATGATTAAAATGACTTCTTTTTATACCTGGGCTCCTATAATTCTCCATTTTAAAATAGTTACCAAGCTACACCCTGGTAAGATAAAGGCAAAGAAAGTTCCAGTAAGTTAGCTTTGTCTATGTAACAAGCCATTAAGATGTAATAGATTACCACAAAAAGTATTTATTAGTTCACTATAATCTGGGTCAGATATTTAGGATGAGTTCGGTTGGGTGGATCTTCTGCTTGTCTTGCCTGGGGTTCTGTTGTGAACTGAACGCGAGCCTGGAAATCTCATCCAGTGAGAGGGTCCCAAACCTGGAAGAGGGTGTGCGTGGAAAGAAAGGAGACAGAGAGAGGTCTGGAGGACTGGATGGGCTATGCCCATACAGCGATTTTATTTGTGCAGTAGGTTTCCTTATATCCTTTTTTCTTTAACATCATTACCTCAATGCAGATCATTATTCAAACAATAAAAGGAACAGAAAATTCCTTGGGGGATGATTCTGAGGAACTGTCAAAGGGAACAAATACTAATTTAAAAGATCAAGGGGGAAATAGGTGATGCTGATGATCGATATTGTCAGAACAATCAGTAACTGGATAACAATCTTTAACTAGAAGTCACAAGCTCAGCAGTAAACCGTGCATCTGAGAGAGACAAGGACCACAGGGGAGGTCGCCAGGCTGAAACAATGCCTGGTAAACAAAGTCTTAGATCAGGAGCCAGAAAGGGGGGGAACACAATACCCAATTAACTCACTTCAGTGTTCACCTGGCCATTATCTCATCGGCCAAGAAGGCTGAGGATAGTGTCCTGCTTCTTAATTTCCTCTTTCATTCTCTTCTTAATTTCCTCTTGCTCATAGCTCGACAGCCTCCAGCCAGGGAAAATGTGTAAGGAGTCAAGCTCATCTAATGGTGGAGGCCAAGTTGTTAGCCTCTCGCAGGGGTGACCTCCACAGGGTTCCTCAGGTAGAGGTAGTCAGCTGATGGTGTGAGCAGGATCTGATTGGTCTTGAATGGCCTCACTCACATTTCTGGTTTTAATGCTGGCTGCTGGCTGGGAGGTGCAAGGGAGTGGGACCTGTATGTTTCCAACACAGTAGCCTAAGTTTATTCACATGCTGGTGGTCACAGTGTTCCAAGATGCAGCAAGAGAGAACAAGACCCCGTGCAGACGCATTTTTCAAGCCGTTGCTTATAGCATGTTCACTCTATTCCATTGGCAAAAGCAAATCACATGGCCAGGCCTAGGGCCAGTATGGGCAGGAAATCTCAAGGGAGTGAACATTGGGAGGTGGGGAATAAATCACGCACATTACTCCAACCACCTACCACAGACGTGTTCTTGAACGTGCTTTTATCTGTACCACCAGACCAAAACTCTTTGAATCATGTAAGCATGTATCAAAATGGATCTCAGCTAACTTCAAATCCTTCTTTGGACAACTTAAATTCAGAAAGGTGACTTTTTTGGGGCCCAATGTCACATGACTAACTTGATACTACATTAATTATGAAGGCATTGGCAAGCATCTGGAATCAGTGATACAATCATTTGACTTAATTTTTTGGATAGGAAAATTTATTAATAAGGCAGAAAAATATATAGGACTAAAGAGTTTAGAAAATATTTTCAGAAAGAAAAGGCAGAGCTCAGATGGGCAGGTAAACAAGCAGAAGTAGTGTGGGAAAACCAACTGAAGCTCAAGGTTTTATGTTTCTCTCATATTATTTTTAGATTCATAAGGCAGAACTTCTCAATCATTCATGTGCATATGGAGTGCCTTTCCAGGGAGAGCTCTTCTACTGCAAAAGCTGTGTGCCCAGGAGACACTTAGCTTTGATCCATGTTGTTTTCAGAAATCATGTAAAACTCATAGGACATA